TATGAAGATATGGGGGAATCAGAAAGCCCAGATGCCGCTGCTTATTGTAGAATATTAGGAGGGGCCCCTGGGTGGCTCAGTCCATTAAGTGGCCGACTCTTGATTTTGACTCAGGTCATGATCTCATGCATGGTTCATGAGTTCAAGCCCCACATGAGGCTCTGTGCTGACAGTGTAGAACCTGCTTGGGTTCCTCTCTCTCCCTCTCTCTCTCTCTCTCTCTCTCACTCACTGCCCCTACCCTGCTTGGGCTCTCTCTCAAAAATAAATAAATACACATTTTTAAAAAGAAAGAAATACCAGGAGCTCCAGCTATGTTTCATAGGCATTTGAAAACAGTGAAATCCACAATATTATTTATATAAAAATGAATACCTCTGGGAGAAGAGAAGGCATTTGCTTCAGCGTGATGGTCAGTGGCTGACAGAATCAACTGGTGGAAATTTCATGGTGGAACGTGATAGGTACCTAGTCTCAAACTAGCTCCCCACAAATCAGTGACTGATTACAAAGGGCTAATGGCAGCTTCACTGTGGACAAACCTGGGGGGTGCCAAAGTTAAGCAAGTTCCGAAAGCAAAAATCCCCACTAAGAGAAAATGAGGACAATGTCGCTGGAGTGGTACTCCACCCCAAAATGTACAGCCCGGATCTAAATGTGAGGTGCCGTCGGACAAACTAATTCTTTTGTATGCACCATGGTTTCTTCCTCTGCAGAGCCTACCCCTCCTCATCAGCCCTCAGTCTTCTCCACTCACCACCCCAGCCATGACCAGCAGCTGCGAGGAAAGGTACTCAACGTCTACCACCAAAGTGCAGGGGGAGCCGGTCACCTGGGCAGGAACCACAAACCTTCTGACTGTCCAGCTCCGAACCTGGCTCCGGGCACTCTTCACTTGGTGGCACATTTGGACAGCGCCTGCAATGCACAACTGTGTGCTTATGACAGGTAGAAATGGTTACCTGAGAAAGGAGAAGTCCACATCACATTTGGGACCACTATAGGGACTGACAAATGGGGAAATAGCTGTTCTGCTTCCTGTAAAATTTCAGTGTCAAAATGTGGACAGAGGTGGAGGGTAATGATGCCTACTCATGCACCCTCTTGCTCAGCGTGGCCTTCCAGGCTCTGTCCCCTGGCCCCTCCACACAGCCCGGGGCCGGCAGGAAAGTCACTGAGGTTGTGAAACTCACTGCTGTACTCTGTGGGGAAGGAAAGTGAGTCATAGTTATGATATCACTTTGTACTTTTAGAACGAGCCTTGAATTCCACCTTATTTATTTATTTTTTTAACATTTTTATTTATTTTTAAGAGACCCAGAGAGACAGAGCATGAACAGGGGGAGTGCAGACAGAAAGGGAGACATAGAATCCAAAGCAGGGTCCAGGCTCCGAGCTGTCAGCACAGAGCCTGACGTGGGGCTCGAACCCACAAACCGTGAGATCATGACCTGAGCCGAAGTCAGACGCTTAACTGACTGAGCCACCCAGGCGCCCCCTTGAATTCTACTTTAAAATTCCCCTCAAATTTATCTTCTTGGTGGTGTGTTACCAATTTACTATTCATTCACAAATAGTCTTAAACTAAGCATTGGCGATCAACTAAGCAAATATTATCCAAGCATTAATAATGTGTTTGCTGTATAAATGTTCACTTATTATCTTTCACGTGCTGGAGCACAGTGTGAGGTCTGCTGATGATTCAGCACTGAGAAGATGTGGCTTAGAATTCCGTGGCGGGGGTGGGGTGGGGCGCCTGCGTGGCTCAGTCGGTTAAGCATCCGCTTCGGCTCAGGTCACGATCTCACAGTCCACAGTCTGTGGGTTTGAGCCTTGCATCAGGCTCTGTGCTGACAGCTCGGAGCCTGGACCCTGCTTTGGATTCTGTGACTCCCTCTCTCTGACTCTCCTCTACTCGTGCTCTGTCTCTCTCTCTCAAAAATAAATAAAGATTACCAAAAATTTAAAAACCAAGATTTCCATGGGGCAATTTGTTGCTGAATTCCTTTTGTTTGTCTACAGAGTCATTATAACAAATTCTGAGATGCACCCCCTACCCTGTCAGGGACAATTATTTACGAGGCAGGGAGAGACAATCTATGTGTGAATAGCATAAAACCGGTTTGAAGTGCAAAAGTAGTCACTTCCATGAAAGTCCTAGACACCAGGTGAGATTATATTGGATCTGTAGGTGAAGGGGAGCCTAGCGGGGAGGGATTCAGGAGACGGTTAGGCCGAGATAGGAGTGGAGACTCACCAAGAGAGGCAGATTCAGATCTGGTATCTACCCTGAAATGGGAAGTAACAGAGTAAGAATTTCTGCATAGGAGAAATGGGGATGAAGAGCTCTTTCCAGGAGAATCTGTTTCTCCAGAGAGGAGGAAGTTAGGACCCGCGCCTCATGCACATTCACGTTTTGGAACGTGTGTTGGAAGTTGAGAGCGGACGGTATCTCCATGCCCTGTGTGCAGGCTTTTCAGTTTCTGAGCGTTTTGTCTCCCCTCACTTACGAACAATGCCATTGCCTTCTTTACTGGTAAAATAGTAACCTCTAGTCTCCTGCGGATTTTTTTTTTTTTCCTAAAAATACGTTGTTGACCTTACCATTTGGTTATAAATATTCAATTACTTCTGGAGACCCCCAAACTACTGATGTCTGAGTGGGCCAGTGAGAGTAAAGGCATAAAGAGGAGGTGTGATTAGTGGGTCCCTGAACCCACCCTTGTAGTTAGTTTTCTAGTTCTGGAATCTTTAGGCGGCACAGATATCCTCAACAGCGGGCAGTGGTTTTCTGACACGTGGAGTAAGAGATTTGGCAAAGGAAAGGCCATGTGGGAGGCTCTGGAAACACGTCTCCCTACCGAAATAGTGGAACGAAGGTAATTCTGCACTCTTTAAAAAAAAATATTTATTTATTTTTGGGGGGAAAGCACAAGCGGGGGAGGGGCAGAGGATCTGAAGCGGGCTCTGTGCTGACAGGCTGACAGCAGTGAGCCCAACATGGGGCTCGAACTCATGAACTGCGAGATCATGACCTGAGCTGAAATCCGACGCTCAACCACCTGAGCCACCCAGGGACCCCAGTAATTCTGCACTCTTGAAGAGATTGCACAGATTTGCACCGCTATCGAGGACTCAAAAAGATACAGAGGTAGGTGTCTCAGACATCCCCACTCAACTTGCCTACTTGGTTTTCAGGGAAGGCACAGACGGGCCTTGGAGAAGCAGGCTCTTGTGTGTCAGGTCATTCCAGTTTCCACTTCTACTCCATCTGAAGGCCCATAGAAAAAAACCACCAATCCCCTTGGCACCTGCTGTGCAGCTCCTGATTGGTGGGTTTATTTTCTTGGCTCTTTCTGTAAAAGCCATCAGGTTCAGTATGCGGTTAGCCATCAGGGCCAGTTATACGCTGTCACTGTCCACATTCGGGGCCACGTTATGTCTCCAGCCCTGTGTTATCAAGGCTGTGGGGACTGTGACTGCCCCTGCATTGCACAAGATATCACACAGGAACGCACCGTGCTGATTGGATCTGTGAAACAGGAAGTAGCAACTCTTCTAGGTGCTTTGTAAGAGTGTGGGAAAGAAATCTCCCCAAATCTCAGGTTCCTGCTGCCTCGGTGAAATCTCTAGGAGCACAGCTGCCTGAGGCATGTTGAGATACCCCACCCAAGGTGAAGACTCATTGCTCCGTCTCATCCTCCTGCTAAGGAGACAAAAATTCACTCCCTAGTGGGCCAACTTGGGAACGTGGAGACAACATACAGCTCCCTGGGCTTGCGACCTCCACCCACTTACTGCGTGTCTTGAGAGGCTGTTGGCTTTGAGTGGTGAGAAACAAGAGAAACCCTTGCAGTGGGCCCTGGCCTGAGTTGCATGACTCAAGACATGCAGTGGGGTTTGGAGCACCTGTGGCAGATGAGGTCAACATCCTTCAGCAGAGAACTATATGGATGAAAGAGGGCATAGATATTAGAGATTTTGGAACCACACTATGCCATTTCTGTAGAGAACTAGTCTCCTTTGTGAAAGACCTTCTGGGGTGCTCCTGGACTCCAGTAGACACAGAATGTCTGGACATGAGTCATCATAAAGGTCCTAATGAGTGAAAGAAGGAGGCAGGGGGTCAGAGCCAAAGAAGTGACCCCAGAGCAGGTGGAGTGATGTGATGTCCTGAAGATGGCAGGGAAGATGTGAATGGATTCACTCCTGGGGCCTCTAGAAGGAACACAGTCTGGGGCACCTGGGTGGCACAGTCGGTTGGGCATCTGACTTTGGCTCAGGTCATGACTCACAGCTCGTGAGTTCAGGTCCCACGTCGCGTTCTGTGCTGACAGCTCAGAGCCTGGAGCCTGCTTCTGATTCTGTGTCTCCCTCTTTCTCTGCCCCTCCTCTGCTCACTCGCTCTCTCTCTCTCTCTCTCTCTCTCTCTCTCAAAAATATACATTAAAAAAATAAGGAGCACAGCCTGAGGACCCCCAGATTTTAGCTCAGGTGTGTCCATTTTGGACTTCAACCCTCCAAAACTGTACCATTGTAAATCTTCACAGTTTTGCCCACTAACTTGTAGTGACTGGTTATGGTAAAAACACAACAGGAAAATAATACACCAGATACTCCGTTTTAAAATATGTTTCTTTTTTAGTCTGGGGGTTTTGTTTCGGTAGTCTGAGCTCTGCAAACTAGTTTGAATCAGTCCTGTCCTGCGATGTATTTCTGGGCCAGATACATTGCAAATACTTAACAAATACGTGTTGAAGCTTGGGTCACGAGGGGGTAGCAGGCCAGGAAGACAACAGTTTATGGATCAGGTGAGGCCTCGGATGTGGTCGAAACATCTGCAAAGCCTGCTGCCTTCTCCAGCCTCAGCCCTGGGGAAATGACGGCCAGGCTGTTCCCCTTCCTGCCTGGCTGCTGATGTGACAACCCCATGACCAGGCAGACCAGCCTCCGAGTGGCCACACCCTGTGCTTCTGCCTGTCCTTTGGGCACCAAGGCCCCTCCATTTGCACAGCAGGGACAGAGGCAGGAGACGCCATGACCCCCACCCTCACGACCCTGCTTCTCCTCGGTAAGATCTCAGGAGGGGAGAGGACGCCCTAGTCTGGGAGGAACCTGCGTCACAGCCAGGCCCTGGGCTGTTAGAGACCCCAAGCACAGGAAGCTCGTGGGAAGGAGAGGTTCTGCTCAGGATTTGGGGCAACCCTCTCACAGGAACTCTTTTCCAGGGCTGAGTGTGGGACCCAGGACCCGAGCGCAGGCAGGTGAGTGTGTCCCCAGGTGTTCCATCCCACCTCCTCACTGGGGACGGGGGTCACCCACCAGGCAGCGGGGAATGGAGAACAGCAGTTCTGGGCAGATGGAGAGGGGACGTCTGGGGGTTTGGGGCTGAGCTGGGAACTGGGGATGGGGAAGGTCTTGTGACCCAGCCTCTGTTTCCTTCCAGGGACCCTCCCTGCACCCTCCCTCTGGGCTGAGCCAGGCTCTGTGGTCCCTTGGGGTAGCACTGTGACCATCTGGTGTCAGGGAATCCTGGAGGCCCACGAGTTCCATCTGGATAAAGATGGACACCCAATGCCCTGGGACAGACGGAAGCCACTGGAGCCTGGGAACAAAGCCAAGTTCTCCATCAGATACATGACAGAGCAGTATGCAGGCCGATATCACTGTTCCTGTCAAAGCCCCACTGGCTCCTCAGAGGGCAGTGACCCCCTGGAGCTGGTGGTGACAGGTGCGAGCCCCCTCAGGGTCCCCACCCCAGGCTCTGCCCTCAGGGAGGGGGTCTGCTCCCAGAGCGTCTCCCTCTCACAGTCCAGCCCTGGGGATACTGTGGGGGGGATCTGGGTCCTATTTAATGTGTCCCTTCCTCCTCTCCTAGGTTCCCATGCCAAACCCCGTCTCTCAGCCCTGCCCAACCCCATGGTGACTTCAGGAGGGAAGGTGACCCTCCAGTGCACCTCATGGACGGAATTCCATAGGTTCGTCCTGATGAAGGAAGGAGAACCCAGACCCGTCTGGACCCTGGACTCCCAGCAACCCACCAGTGGACAGTTCCAGGCCCTGTTTCCTGTGGGCCCTGTGACCCCCAGCGCCAGGTGGACATTCAGATGCCATGGCTATTTCAACAACACTCCCCAGTTGTGGTCATACCCCAGTGACCCCCTAGAACTGCTGGTCTCAGGTGAGGGAGTCTGATTTTTGTTGCATCCGTGTTTTGACCACCAGACAGGTTATGGAGGCTCTGCTCCCAGGGGAGCCCCAGATCAGAGGGTGGGGTGAGGGGGACACGGGATCTCACAGGTCAGAGACACAGAATGTGAGAGACACTGAGACCTGGGG